AACCACACCTCCAGGCCTTTTATTATGTTTTATTTTGAGACAGAGTCTAAGTGGTTTAAGGCCTCACTAAATTGCTGAGGCTGGCCTCAAACTTGTGATCCTCCTGTCTCAGCCCCTCATGACTCTAGGATTATAGGCACACTCCACCATACTTGGCTTTTTTTCTCTTTATTATGGTGTTCCCGCTTCTTTCCCTGTCCAGGCAGCTTGTACGTACGTAAGTTCGGAACTGAACTGTTTCTCATAGTCCTAGTAACCATGATTTCTTGAGTTCTCCAAATCTCTGTTAGTTTAATGTTGGTCCTCAGTGTATTGCCCCAGGTATCCATCTTACTGTGTGGGTATTCTCTAGCTGTTTTGATTTTGAACTGTGGAGAAGTTGTAAAGTGCATCTTAACTCCCCTCCGCCATCCTGATCCCAATCTGGAGTTTAAAAAAAAAAAAAATTCCTCACAATTAGAGTTTGTAACATAACTCTGAGTAATGGGATATCAGAAATCCGTTGTGTTATACAACAAATGGAGAAAAATAAAAATATAAATATATAAACACAATTTTTGTGTGTGTGTGTGTGTGTGTGTGTGTGTGTAGAGAGAGAGAGAGAGATACGGAGAGGCAGATACTTGGGACTGAACTCAGAAGCATTGTATCTCTGAGCTACATCTACCCAGCCTTATTTTTATTCTATTTTTGAGACAGGGTCTTGCTAAGTTGCCCAGGCTGCCTCAAACTTGAGATATTTCTGCCTCAGCCTCCTGAATATCTAGGACTACAGGCATGTACAGATATAAGTAGAAAGGACTAAGTCTTTTTAAAAAATATATGTGTTTTTGGACTGGAGTTGTAGCTCAGTGGTAGAGCATTTGTCTAGTATGCATGAGGCACTGGGTTCAATTCTCAGTTCCACATATAAATAAATGAATAAAATAAAGGTCTATCAATAACTAAAAATATCTTTAAAAATATGTATTTTAAATTTTAATTGATGCAAATTGATACATACTATTGTGCATAATTATGGGTAAAGTGTGACATTTCAATCCATCTATACAATGTGTCATCAGGTCAGGATAATTGGCATGTTTGTCACCTCAGATATACATAATTTCTTTGTGTTGGGAACATTCAAAATCCCCTCCATCAGCTATTTTGAAATATTCAATTAATTGTTAATCATAGTTCTCTTACTCTGCTCTATAACATTGGAAGTTATTCTTCCCGTCCAATTGTACCCCTGTACCCATTGTCCATCCTCCCCATCCCTTCCTTCCCTGCACTCTTCACAGGCTCTAATAACTGCTATTCTGTTCTCTACTTCTTTGAGATCAACATTTTAGCTTCTACATGTAAGTGAGAATATGTGCTATTAGTCTTCTGTACCTGACTTATTTCATTTAACACAATATCCTCCATGCTCATCCATGTTACTGCAAATGATAAGAGTTTCATTATTTTTTTCTAGCTGAATATTTCATTGTGTATATATGCCACATCCCCTTTATCCATTCATCCTTCTGTGGATGGATACCTATGCTTATTCTGTGTCTTTGCTGTTATGAACAGTGCTGCATATGATGTATATATTTCTCCTGCATATTAATTTCAGTCCCTTTGTCTATACACTCAGTAGTTAGTTATGTTGATGGATCATATGGCCATAAGTAGTTCTATTTCTAGTTCTTTAAGGAACCTACATTGTGTTTTCCATGTTGGCTGAACTAGTTTAAATTCCTACAAACAGAGTACAAGAGTTTCCCTGTCTGTATTCTTGCCAGTATTTGCTTTTTTTGGTAATAGGGAGGTGCATTATTATGGTTTTGATTTGCATTTCCCTGATGATTAGTGATGTCAGGCATTTTTTTCCATATACTTTTTGGCCATTTTTTATATCATCTTTTTAGAAATGACCTTTTCCATGTCATTCATCCATTTTTTTAAAAAAATCAGATTATTTTCTCTTTTGCTATTCAGTTGTTTGAATTTCTTATATATTCTGAAAGTTAATCTCTTGTCAGGTAGTTGGAAAATATTTTTTCCCATTCTGTAGATTGTCTCTTTACTCTGTTGTTGTTTCCTTTACTGTGCAGAAGTTTTTTAGTTTGATGAAGTTTCACTTACAACAGACAGAGGTCTAAGCAGGAAGACCAAATTGAAGATTAAGGATTGTTTTTTAGGAGATATAAATTGTGCTCCATAGGAAGCACTGGAGTCCTGTTAAGGCATTTTCTTGCATACTTGAGATAGAGCTTCCTTGGTCATGGTGTATAATCCATTTTATGCACTGTTGGATTCAATTTGCTAATTTTTTTAAAGACATGTAAATTCATGAGAGATATTAGTCGGTCATTTTCTTGTAATGTCTCTGTGTAGTTTTTATATCAGAGGATCACTGGCCTCATAGAACGAGTTAGCAAGTATTTCCTTTATCTTTATATTCTGGAAGAGATTGTAGAAAATGGGTATAATTCTTCCTTAAACATTTTTTTAAGTATTGATTCAGTCTTTTAATATCTTTACTGTTTTCTATTTGCTGTCCTTTTTCTTTGTTCCTGCTTTGACTTTCACTTTTTTTTCTGCCTTTTGTGATTTTAGTTGAGCATTTTATATGATTCTGTTTTCTCTCCTTTCTTAGCTATCAATTAAACTTAAATTTTTTAGTGATTGTCCTAGATTTTGTAATATACAATCAGATTTCACTTTCAAGTAATACTGTACCACCTCATAGATAGTATGATTACCTGTAACAAAACATTCTGTGAGATCACTTAAGAATAAGAAAAAAATGGCTGGTATGTGGGTGCATGCCTATAGTTCCAACTCCTTTGGAGGCTGAAGCAGTAGAATTGCTTGAACCTAGGAGTTTGAGGCCACAATTTTTAAAACCCCACCTCCAAAAAACAAAACAACAACAAAAACTGGCATTTTTATTTTGTGTTCAATTATCTCTTCTCTGATGTTCTTCCTTCCTTTATATAGATTCAAGTTTCTGACCTATATTTTCCCACTCCCTGAAGAACCTCTTTTAACATTTCTTCCAAGGCAAGTATACTGGCAACAACTTCCTTCAATTCAATTTTTGTTCATCTAAAAAAGTCTTTATTTCCCCTTCATTACTGAAGGATGATTTTTTATTTTTTATTTTTTTTAGTTGTCAGTGGATCTTTATTTATTTATTTATATGAGATGCTGAGAATCCAACTCAATGCTCACACATGCTAGGCAAGTGCTCTACCACTGAGCTACAGCCCCAGCCTCTCTGAAGGATGATTTGACAGGTTACAGAACTCTACATGGATTTTTTTTTTCCTTCTCAGTATTTTAAACATTTCATTTCCTCTCTATTCTTGCTTGCTTAGTTTTTGAGGAGAAGTTGGGGTGTAATTCTTACCTTTATCTCTTTGTAATTAAGATGATTTTTTTTTCTTTTGGCTTCTTTAGCATTTTTTAAAATTTTTTTTATTTATTTTTTAGTTTTCGGTGGACACAACATCTTTGTTTGTATGTAGTGCTGAGGATCGAACCCGGGCCTCCTGCATGCCAGGCGAGCGCGCTACCGCTTGAGCCACATCCTCAGCCCCTAGCATTTTGAAATTTATTTTTAATTTTCTGCAGTTCAAGTATGATAGGCCTACATATAGTTTTATGGGCAGTTACCCTGCGTGTTGTTTTTCAAACTTCCTGTGTCTGTGGCTTGGTGTCTGTCATTAATTTGGGGGAGAATTCTTAGTCTTTATTGCTTCAGCTATTTCTTCTGTTCCTTCCTTTTTCTTCTGGTGCTCTCATTATGCTTATGTTATACCTTTTATAGTTGTCCCACAACTATATTCTTTCAGTCTTTTTTCTTTTTTTAGTTTTGGAGATTTCTATTGAAAGATCCTTAAGCTTAGGAACTTCTTCCTTAGTTGTGTCCAGTTTACTAATGAATCCACCAAAGGCATTTTTCATTTCTCTTATGGTATTTTTCATTTCTAGCATCTCTTTTTTGACTCTTTGTTAGCATTCTCATCTCTTTGCTTTCAGTGCTTATCTGTGTTCACCTGTGGTCTACTTTTTCCATTAGCATTATTAACATAGCAACATAGTTTTATGTTAAAGTTAATTTTTATTTTTATTTTTCATGGTGGTGGGGATGGAACCTAGGGCCTCACAGTGCTATACAAGCACTCTTCGCTGAACTACATTCTTAGTTGTTTCAAATTTCCAGTCTGGTAATTCTAATGTTTCTGCCATATCTGAATTTGGTTCTGATGCTTGCTCTGTGTCTTCAAACTCTGTTTTTTGCCTTTTAATTTGCCTTGTAATTTTGTTTATTGATGGAAAACTGGCATAATGTACAAGATGAAAGGAATTCCAGTTAACAAGAGTTTAGAGGTGTGGTAATAAGGTATGTGGGGGGAGGGTATGCATTCTGTTACTGTCATTAGGTCTCAATCTTTAAGTGTATATACCCCTTGGCTTTGAACCTTGTTAGTTTTCTTGATTTTTCCCTAGTAGGCTGGAGTTGTTTTTTTCCCCCTCCTTCCAGGTAGGTTAGGCTTTGATAAAACCCCAACAGGGTAGGATCTGGTAAAATAATTACTGTTGAGGATGGGCTTTCTTAAGTACACAATAAGGGGGTAAGTTCTGGGGATTGATATTGGCCAAATTATATAGTATGCATGTACGAATATGTAAGAACAGATCCCACCATTATGTTCTACTGTAATGTACCAATAAAAAAAATTGAGGGAAAAGAATAATTCACTCTAAGAACCTGGTGAACTCCTCTGGGTAAAATTTGCTAAAGTGTAGAGACCCATCTATGAATTCATTTCTCACACTGACTTTATTTTGTAAAGTAAGATAGTAAGACAGCCCTGTAAAACTCGTGAGCTATGGTTTTTAAAGCAGTGTCATCTTGGTTGATTTTATGCAAATTTAAACTGAAGCAGAGATTTATTTGACTGATATTCAGATATTTAGTGTAGTAGTGATTTCTGTTTTTGTGTCATTCTCTTTAGTACTTGGACCATGAGACTGTTTCAGCCACGTTCATTGACAGCAGCGGGCAAGTTGTTTTATCCCAGGCTACAGGCATTAGCCGAAATCCCTACTGTGGCTATGAACACCAGACTCTCTCCCGTCAGGAACGTTTGGAGGAGGACTCCTTGCTGGCCACCTTACAGGGGCAGGTACCTGATGTGGGCTTAGTCCCCTTTGTGAAGAGCACCGACCCTTCTTCTAGCTACTTTGTCATCTTGAACTCCGCAGCCTTCTTCAGGGTGGGAAGCCAACTGGAGGTACTGGTTCATGTGCAGGATTTTCAAAGAAAGCCCAAGAAGTATGGTGGAGACTACTTGCAGGCCAAAATCCACTCCCCCAAGCTTCAGGCAGGGGCTGTGGGCAGAGTAGTAGACTATAAGAATGGGTTTTATAAGGTTTTCTTTACTTTGCTCTGGCCAGGCAAAGTTAAAGTGTCCATATCTCTGGTTCACCCAAGTGAAGGGATCAGAGTTCTTCAGCACCTACAGGAAGAAAAGCCAGACAGAGTCTATTTCAAGAGCCTGTTCCGTTCAGGAAGGATTTCTGAAACCACTGAGTGCAATGTATGTCTTCCTGGGAGTCTGCCCCTGTGTAACTTTACAGATCTCTACACTGGAGAGCCTTGGTTCTGCTTCAAACCAAAGAAACTCCCTTGCAGCAGCAGAATTAATCATTTCAAAGGTGGATATCTGAAGGGTCTTCTAACTGCTACAGAGAGTGCTTTCTTCCAGAGGTATGTGCTCCTTGGTAATTTAAGAGTTCTTTTTTACTGCCCTAGTCACATTTAGGAGACTTTGTTGTTTTGAGCATATATTCCTTATCTTGCTGAGCTTGATCCAATTCAGGAGAAGTAGTGAATAAGAAAAATACAAATTTGCATTTATTTATTTATTTAGTCATTCATTCATTTGTTTATTTATTTTGGGGTACAGGGGATTGAACTCAGAGATGTTTAACCACTGAGCCACATCCCCAGCCCTGTTTTATACTTTATTTAGAAATAGTTGCTTAGGGGCTCACTAAGTTGCTGAGGTTGACTTTGAACTCATGATCCTCCTAACTCAGCCTCTTAAGCCACTGGGATTATAGGCATATGCCACCATGCCTGGCACAAATTTGTATTTGTAATTAGTATGCCCTACTACCCCAGCACTAGGGATTGATCCCAGGGCCTTGCACATGCTAGACAAGCACTGTACCACTGATCTGCACTCCCAGCCCTTTTTACTTGGTTTTGAAACAGGGTTTCACTAAGTTGCCCAGACTAGGCTTGAACTTGCAATCCATCTGCCTCAACCTCCCAAGTAGTTGGGATTTTATAGGCATGTGCTACAATACCTGGTTTAATTAGTATTTTAATTAGTTCTTCTCCAAGCTCAAATTAATCTTTTATTCTTGAATTGTTGGTCTTTCCCTGATGTATTTTACTTAGAACTACACATCATATTAGTGACTATAGAGACAAGGTCACTTATTCACAGAACAGATTTTCAAAAGCATCTGAGAACAGGGCTTCTAGTGATATCTAGTGGATAGGTTATTGTTTTAGCTTTCTTGTGTCAAACTAAAAACAGCTTTTAAAAAGTGACATAATATTAGTTTTCAAGAAACATTTGTTGATGAATAGAAAAGTATACAGGGCTGGGGATGTGGCTCAAGCGGTAGCGCGCTCACCTGGCATGCGTGCGGCCCGGGTTCGATCCTCAGCACCACATACAAACAAAGATGTTGTGTCCGCCGATAACTAAAGAAAATAAATATTAAAAAAATTCTCTCTCTCTCCCTCTATCACTCTCTCTTTAAAAAAAAAAAAAGAAAAGTATACATATGGCAAAATTACTGGGTTACAAGGCATACCAGAGCAAACTATGTATTTTTTAAGTTAGCAATCATTGAAATTTATTGCAGTATTTTGTTCAAGTTCCTCTTTTGAATATAAAGCATAAAAAAATTAGCACAACAGTCAATGTGTGGAGTAACCGGCAGAGTGGAATGTAGGGAAACAGTAAAAATTGTAATTTATGTTTTCTTTAACGTTCCTTACATTTCTGAATAAACGAACATTCCTAATAACTTCTAGTATTCTCCTGCATAGTAGAATAACTATGATTGACAACAATTAATTGAATATTTGAAAATAACTTGCAGAGAGGATTTTGAATGTTTCTAACACAAACGTCTGAGATGACATGCCCTTTATTCTGATCTGATCATTACACATTGCATACATGTATTGAAAAGTCACAGTGTACTCTGTACGTATGTACGATTGATACGTGTCAGTCAAAAATAAAAAAAAAAAATTAAAAAAAGTAACATGTTATAAATTATTTGGTAGAAAGTATAACTTTTTAAACTTTTTAATGAAGTCTATACTTTTTAAACTTTGCCTGGTAGAGAGTTATTTTTGTTTAATACGTCTGGGCATCTCCCAGATTGCATATTTTATGTCTACTCTACATGGTGGAGGAAAAGTTGTTGTCATAAAGTGTGGTCTGTTGGAGCTCCTGAAATCAAACCCTCCGCTTCCACTGAAGTTTGCTATAGGTCCTGGCAGTGTAAGTCTAGTGGAGTCTTGCCATGCATACACGGGGCCAGCAGAGGGAGCCCGACTTAACTATATTTGCTGAACTGTTCTTGAGAAGACTAGGTATAGCTTAGCACAGAGTAAAAATGACACACACTCATACACACACACACACACACACACTCACATATCCTAAAGAAAGGAAAAAACAAAGCCAGAAGTTTTATTTTTAATCCTACATTCAGATCTCAGACTCGTTATTTATCAATGACTGTTATCAGATTATTTCATTTCTGTGCACTGTTTTGGGCCTATATGTGAAGACTACCCACCTATCCCTTTTGTTTTTATTGTTTTTAGAGAGAATTTTTAATACTTATTTTTTAGTTTTCGGTGGACACAACATCTTTTGTTTGTATGTGGTGCTGAGGATCGAACCGGGCCGCACGCATGCCAGGCGAGCGCGCTGCCGCTTGAGCCACATCCCCAGCCCCACCCATCCCTTTTAGAGTTGTGTTGTCAGTCCATTTGGTGGCTTAGCAAAAACAAAGAAGCACAGTTTATAATTACTCAATTTCTGTGTGGAAAATAGTGTGTGTGTGTGTGTGGGAAAGCTAGAGAATTAGTGATAATCTTTAAAATATTCCTGATACTAAGTTTTACAATCAAAAGCACCTGTTGTTAATCTAGAAGAATAATATCTTTGTAATCCTGCATTTATTTGCATGTCCTCGGTGAATATGGCTGATGGCCTATTGTAGAATCATTACAAAATTCTCCTTATCTGGAGGTTTGCTGAAAAAACAATGTTTGAGGTGGCATACATCTTTGGAAACCAAACATTTGCAGAGTCCTGATAATTAATATTCCTATCTTTTCCTGTGATAAAGATCTGCAATATTACATCAGACTGTCTAAAAAGAAAAAGATTGAAATTGATCTTTGGAGAAATTTTAGGGTGTGCTATTTGAGCTTATTTGGCCTGAATATGTTGCATTAATACCTGTATGTACCTCTTTTCCTTGGTGGCTTCTAACCTTGCTTAAGTTAGAAGGAATTAAGAAGGTTATTTTTGGTATTTGACACCCTAAGTAACAGGTGGACAGTTAAGTCAAGGTAATCTTTGTTCTTTACCTTTAAGGGGGAAAAAATGTGTTTGTCTTGGAAAGATAGAAGTACTTTCCTTAAAAGATCCTGTTAATGTAAGGGAAGGCCTTTTGAAAGAATGAGCTTATCACCTGAAAAGTTTCCCGTTTAATTTAGCAAGATTTTTATTTTTTCTAACTTTGTGTTAAAAAAATTCATGTCTTTAGAAACATTTTTAAGATTAATAACAGTGAACACCCATACAGCTTTTTCCTAGAGTCACCATTGTTAGTGTTTTGCTGCATTTGCTTTGTCTTTCTGTGTGTGTGTGTGTGTGTGTGTGTGTATGTGTGACTTTTGCCCCTGGATCATTTGAGAATAAATTAGTCATTATGGAACGGTACCCATAAATATGAATCTAAAAATGTGGACTTTAATGTATCACCATAACACAGTCATCATAAGGGAGACTTGTATGATTGATACAATATTATTATCTAATATTCAATCCATATTCAAGTTTTCCCAGTCATCCTAGTAATATCCTTTGTAGTCATCTATTTGAGCTAATCTAATCTATGATCACACAGTGTATTTATTTATCTCTTTAATCCAGGAGATCTGTTTAGTCTATTTTGTTTTTTATGACATGATAGTTTAAATATTGCTGTTTTGTAGAATGTCCTTTACTTTGGATTTGCTTTATTGTTTCAACATGACTAGATTCAGGTTAAATGTAGGAAAACTATAGAGGAAATTTTCCTACAGATATTTTTATGGGAAAATTATGTAATTGTCATATTATAATACTCAAAGCTTATGAAAGTAGTTTATTTGGACTCTTTTAAAAGTCATGTTCTCCTTAAGTATCACTTATCTCTAATGAATCCAGCCCTGTATACATTCTTCATTACTTGTTTATTTTGTCTTTTTTTCTCATTAGAATGTCAGTCCATTAAGAAAGAGATTCTGTGTGTGTGTGTGTGTGTGTGTGTTTACTATGATAGCTCCTGGCATCTAGGACAGTGCCTGGCACATAGTAGAAGCTTGAAAATTATTTATTGAATGAACAAACACATCTGTTCTGAAATTGATGAAACAATTATAAAAAAAAACAATGACTGAATGTTCCTACATCAAGAGTTTAGAAATTTATTTCATTTTTTATTTGTTTTTGATCTAAGTATAATAGACTTGATTTTTGTGGCTCAGTATCTACAATAGCTGTATTGGGTTTTTAGTATTCTGATATTCACTCTCTCTCAGTTTTTCATGCAGCCATTCAAAAAAAGTCTGAGCATGGATTCTAGCCTGAGCTAAGTGCAGAAGTCACAAGGGTGAATGAGGCACCATTCATGTCTTTGAGGAATATGTATTTTAGGAAGGGCCACAGGCACTTGAGAGTCATAGTAATGATGAATAAAGTACTGCATCAGTACATATCTGGGGGCAAGTGTCCTCAGTGGGACTCATCTCAGATCTGGCAAAGCCAAAGGAATCTGACATGCTACAGAGACACACAGCCTGATAACTAGGTAGTTACCAATTAGACATTCTTGTTAGCGTGAGCTATTCTGAGTACCAGAAGAATAAGTAATGTAAGCCAGAACTTGTCATTTTGGATTTTGCATTCTTAGGACTGGCCAAGAATATATAGTGTGGTGAAAACTTACTATGTTAACTTCCTCCTCACTTTATATACACATATAACGTACTTATTACAAAAGACCTGGTTTGTCAGTTATTCATATTGTTGGTTAACACTTACATTTTACCATAATAAGGCACTGTGAAATCATATCCATTTTTTTGCTATGTGCAGATAAAGATGCATACCCGAAAATAAATGCCTCTGAATCTAAGCTTGTGCTTTTTTATTCCTTTTAAAGTGGTGTCAATATCAAAATGCCAATCAATTCCAGTGGACCTGATTGGGTGACTGTGGTTCCCAGGAGGATAAAAGGTAAAAAAAAAAAAAAAAAAGGAGTTTGATGATTTATTGTTTTTCTTGCTAAATGGGTTGAAGCTCTGTCATTTCAATGATGTTATAAATTTTTTTTTTGTCACTTTAATGTGCCTGGTTACTTCTGGCACAACTGAAAATATTAAAAACTGATTTTAAAAACATTAGCTAAATCTTATGTGATTAATTCTGGGTTTTTCTATTTATGTTTATATGAAAATTATATTTTTTTATCATCCCTTCCCTTCTGTTTATCTTATCAAGAGCCAATAGAGCTATATTGTTCAGTATAGTAGCTACTAACTTCATGAAGCTATGTAAGTTTAGATTAATTAAAATTAAATAAACAGACACTAGTATGGCAATATGTAAATCAATGGATGTGTAACTGATGTGATTCTGCAAGCTGTATACGGGGTAAAAATGGGAGTTCATAACCCACTTGAATCAAAGTGTGAAATATGATATATCAAGAACTATGTAATGTTTTGAACAACCAACAATAAAAATTTAAAAAAAAAAATAAAAAAGGGGAAAAAATAAATAAACATTCAATTCTTTAGTCACACTATGTGAAAACATAGTAAGTTTTCACCACACTATACATGATACTTGAGAGTGATCATGTTTTAACAGCATTTAATATAGAATCTATACACGATTACAAAAAGTTCTGTTGGATATTGTTATACTAGAGATACTCAAGGAATGTGTAAAATTGGCTTGCAATTTTTTATTGGTTCTTTTTAGCTATAGCTGACAACAGAATTTATTTAGACATAAAAGAATGGAATATAATTTGTTCTAATTTAGCCCCCAGTACTTCCTGATCCCTTCTGTTCCTCCTACCTCCTGTTCCCTTTCCTCTACTCTACTGATCTTTCTACTATTTACTTTTTTTTTTTTTAATTAATGTCTTGTGGGTATACTTGATGGTGAGATTCACTGTGGTATATTCATGTATGTACATAGGAAAGTTAGGTCAAATTCATTCTACTGTCTTTCCCTTCCCTTTATTCCCTTTTGTCTACTCCACTAATCTTTCTTCTATTCTTTTTTTTTTTTTTCCCCTGTCTCCTTATTTTGAATTAGCTTCCACATATCAGAGAAAACATTTGGTGTTTGACTTTTTTGGGTCTGGCTTATTTCACTTAGATTGTTAGTCTCCAGTTCATCCATTTACTGGTAAAATCTGTGTTTAACTTTCCAGGTCATTCTGATGCATTGATGTAGGATATTAATAGTAAAAGGATAAAATTCAGAGGAATGTGTTATGATTTTGCAGAATAGATATAGCTAGTTATAATGACTTTTAGAAAGGATGAACATTATTAAGGAGATTTACACAGATGGTGGGCAAGATCCTTTTAGTTGTTGAAAACATATTAATATTATCCCACACAGTAGATGTAAAGCCTTTTGCCTTAGGGGTGAGGTATATAATATACATGGACCAAGCATAATGGGCATTTAGCCATACCTTGTGCGGTTGTGGGGAATTAATGAAAAGCAAGGACCACCTCAGTAGGGCAGCCTGAATTCTGCTGTTTGTACAGCTTTGTTTCCATGCATAAACAAACCCAGTGCAGCCAGATCTGTAGATTTTTTTTTCACAAAACCCCAGAAATGTTAATTTTAAAAATGTGATATTTCCAGATCTCACAGCATTAGCATCCAATTCAAAATAGCATGGGGGCTAAATAAAATTAGTCTGTGGCAGCGATACAGGCAGGAAACTGCCGGTTGTCTCTCTAGTCTCCACTGTTGTGTGTCATAAGAAATCTCAATCTTTTCCTAACGAAGAGCTACATTTGATTTACTTGAACCAGATGGATCACTAGTTTTAGAAGGTACATATGAGAAACATCATTAATAGAAATACTTATCAATCTTGATCTCAGCCCATGGCCAAGATGTCAGTAGACATGATGCCTCTCAACACTCCCATGTTTGACATCCTCAGGAGGCCCTGTCCCAACACCAAATTTACTCTTCTTTTCCACAGCCCTGTCTGGCTTGCCCACCTTTGATGTCTCAGGTGTCTTTGGAATGGTTGGTGGAAGGAGCTTTTATGTTTACCTCCACCTGACAGATCTTAAAGATCAGCCAGGAAGTGGTGTGGTATGTGGTGTACTATTCTACTTAGAGGGAAGACAGACTCTGTAACTAGTGAGGCTTTTGATGGATTTTTAGAGGAATAAAGTAACCCTAAATCAGTAGGAGCAAGTAGGCTGGCTTTCATTGAGAAAGTATCTTGTACCAGATAGGTAATTAGAAAGAAAGAGAAGGCCAGGTGCTTTGCTTTATGTAGAATCAAAGGAACTCAGCTTAGCAGTACTTCATTGAAATTCACCTTAGTGACCCACAGAGGGCACTCAAAGACCTTAAATAAGAGTTCATATTTTTCCTCCTATGCCAACAGTTTGTTTCTGCTTCAATTTTCACCCATTAATTTTAGCACCCATTAGCTTTTATCATTAGTAGTTATTTCTGTGGCAATCTAATGTTAACAATCTAATAATGATATCACTCATTCCTTCAACACTTGTAGCTGAAATTCTTTTGTAAAGAGGTATTATCCCTTTCCCCACATTTATTTATATCAGTATGGTCTCATCATAATTTCATATTTGAGTTATAATCCAGCTTAATCGCTTTCTCTCAAATTGTTACAGATTTGAAACCTTGTCAATTGGAATCGTTCCAGGAATTTTCTCTACCTTTGACATGTTCTCATTCAATGGAGCACTTTCTTACTCTCTAGCACCACCAGTTACTCTAGCCTCCTTTTTTTTTGCCCTATCCCTGGATGTGTTCATCGTCTTTACACCTTTATCATTTCACTTACAAAACCTATATTTTGGAGTTTGCTCTCTATGAAATTTTATTATTTTTGTTTTAGCTAATTAACTTCCTATAAGGTAAAATTATTCCAACATTCCTATTTTGAGTCTAGTGGATTTCTTGAGACTGCTTAATGCATGGACATAATTGTAGTCAAGAACAAAGAAAGAGTTTTTAATAAGAGTAGGCTAGCTTATCAAGGCCAAGTGTTTGGTTTCTAACAGGTTTTTCCAGTGTCATAATTACTGTTGAACTTTCATTAGCATTGTACTGTAGTCCCCAGACTATCATAACTAAAGGACTTGGCAACCTTGATGGATCCCAACCTCATCAGAAACTTGAGCTCGTGTTTTTTTAGGGGGTGAGGGTCGGGGTGGGGGTAGGGGATGCTTACCTATTCTACTGAGATATAATACCCAAACTTCCACCCTTAATTCACATTGTATCCCTCTTGTCCAGATCTTTCTAGATGGTTTAGGAAAATTTATCTTACTGCCTCCCTCCCTTATTTGTCCTATTTTTTGGCCCAGATAGCCTCCTATGGTTAACAATGGCATGGGATGACACCCTCTGGAGGAAAATGTTAGCTATGGGCTTTAAAGAGAAGCCAGGCCATTTTAGAGATGACTAGACATTATTTGCAAATCAAAGATAAACCTGATTTTGTACAAATATCTTCATATCTGCCTTTACAACCACCTTGGCATCAACATTTCCTCTTACCAGCAATATTCAGTATAACTAACCACTAAATTGAGTAATAAATCTTTATTTTTATTTAATCTTATTCCAAATTAATATCATATTAGGGGTTATATTATCAGTTTAAGATACTTTCATATCTTAGTTACCTTATGTGAAAATGCATTGAATTTAACAACCTCTGACCCCTTGAAATCAGTCAGGTAATATTTTTGAAACAACTGACCATAAGGTGGCAGCACAGGTATGTACATTTCACCTTAAAAAATAGAGTTCTTAAAGAATGGATGTCAGATTCAGTAATTGATTTGCTTTGCTTGATTTAACTCTGGTAGTAATTGTAATTGAAATGTTAATTTTTCCTGTGTGATATATACATTTCTTTTTAACATGTATTTGACAGAAAATAGTCAAATTACCAAATTAAAAATTTAACTTCAAAACCACTTTTAATTTTCTCTAGTAAATGTTTTCTGTGGACCTGGGTGTCTTCACTATAGCTCTCTAGCTCTGCCATTTTGATGTACTGATGAAACGAGGGAGCTTGGGCAAGGTGTAGTAACATGGTAAAGCCACCCTTGACAACATGTTGAAAGATTCTTTGATTTTTTGTTTTTGAGATGGGGTCTTGTTCTGGTATCCAGGCTATCCTTGAACTCCTGGCCTCAGGATCTTCCTGCCTTAACCTCCTGAGTAGCTGGGGGACTAGAGTTACTATCTGACTTGAGAATTTTTTTAAATAAGTTGAATAAATATTTATTCATCACCCTTCCGTTGTTCTTTGTTAATAATATTTACCAAAGTAAAGCTTTTGAAGCACGTTTACTTTTCATTTGGGCCCTGAACGTATAAAGAATTAGCAGATAGCCAAGGGGAAAAATGATTAGATCTGCACTTTGTTAAATAGGGCATTTTCTTTGGAGGATATAAAAAATCCAAAATAATTTTGAGTAACGTGGATAATATCAAGAATTCAGATAAACTGAAAATAGTCACAAATAGGGGACGTACTTAAATTTCTGATTGGTGTAAACATATGCATTTCAAATTGTGGTTTAACAGATCACTACACTGTAAAATGATTGGAATATGATCAAGGTTGAACTTTGGGTTATGTAAGGAAGTGACATAAAATGATTGGTGGTTTCTTGAAGATTAGAGATTTGAATAATTGTTAGAAATATAAATATATATACCTTCAAGAAAAAAAGCTGAAAGAAATGGCTGACATCTACTGATATCTATTTCTGAGAAGTACCTCCTGCACAGTGGTTAAAAACCTGGGCTTTGGGGCCCACCTGCTCAGGTCTGGTTCCGATTTCATTACTAGCTCAGCTCTGGGACATTGGTCAAGTTGCTTAATTATTCTGAAAGGCAGGGATAGTAACAGTACCTTTTATAAAGAATTATTGTGAGCTTCATGTGAGATATTAGGTTTAATTGCTCAGGATAGTGTCTAATGCAGAGTAAACTGCAAGAAATTTAGCTATCACTATCTGTTTTGACGCATGCAAAGCATTTGTTTCCATGGAGGCATTTTTCCAATGGAGGTGTTAGGGCAGACAGAGGTTGACTCTCCCTCTAAAAGGTAGATGGTGATTGTGTTGTGCTTTGTAGCTAGGCTACAAGGTGAGTACACCTTGTGATGCTTTTTTATGCCTAAGACCTTATCAACCTTTTATATTGTGGAGAATAATCCTTTATATGTCATTTGTCTCAATGTGGTCAATGAATTTAGGACCCACAGATTAAAACTTTCCTTTTAATGAACCAAGAAACATTGGACTAATATTACTATACATATATAAAATATTAAATTCTTACTTGCCTCACAGGTATTTGGATAAAAAATAGTTATGCTTTTTCTGGGACATTGCTGGACATGTGCTTATATCTACACATTTCTTTGGTGTTTGCCTTCCTTTATTGTCTTTTATAAAAACATGCATACTCAAAGGAATGCTCAGCGTCCCCCTTTCCCCTGGTGTCCCTCAATACTCCCACACCTATTTCACATCTTCCTACTTCTGTGCAAAGGAGAACCTTTCTGTATGAAGGGGAAAGTCTGGGATGTCTTTCAGATATGATAACAGGAAATGTTGCCCAAATGCTAGCAGTCTAACAAATATATAGGCATTATTATGTTTCCTGCAACATTTTTCATCTATTACTAGAGGAAAATTAAAATATATATATATATATATGTGTGTGTGTGTGTGTGTATTTGTTTATTTATTTATTTATTTATTTTCCCTTTTTCTAACTAACAACCTAGAAGTACCTGAAGGCTCAGAAACTTTTCCTTCTGGGTATTATTACAAAGATCAGTGGAAGCCCAGAAGATTTAAGATGCGCCATTTTAATGACCCTGACAACATTACAGAATGCTTACAAAGAAAAATGGTGTATTTATTTGGTGACTCGACAATCAGGCAATGGTTTGATTACCTCACTACATTTGTTCCAGGTTGGTACTTTGCTTTTTGTTTCATAACTATATCCTAGAGGGATGAAATCCGGGTTATGTAAGGAAGTGACATAAAATTGAAATACGTAGACTCACTCTAACTCTGAAGAAAGGCATCAGGTGAAGAAGCAATTTCTCTGTAGGATTAAAGAGGTATCCTCATTCTGGAGAGGTATGTGCAATTTCTGATCAATCCAGAAAGATTTGTCCACTGATTATCTGTTTGATCACCCTGGACAAGTCATTTACTCCTCAGGGCTTTCTTTCTCCATGTGTGAGATGAGACAGCAGGACCATGTCACTTTACAGCTGTCTTTTACTTCTAATATTCGGGATTATAACATAGAGGTAGACATTTCCAGTTGTTTCTCTTCTAGTTGTTCGGTCCAACCTCAAATTTATAGTAGATTTAACTGGAAGGAAATTTACTGTGGTTCATTTTACTGCATCCATGTAGCAAAACCATCCTTTAGGCCTACCACTGGGGGCACTCTGAGGTAGAGCTGGCTCCTCTGGAGGGAGTGTGGGCAAGTCCCAGTGTGGTTAGCTTCTTGTTTCTCTGGGGCTACTCTCCAGACTCAGAACAAAACCCACCACTTATTCACTGCTGAGAGCCATAGCCAAGTAGGACGCCTGGCATTTTTGGTTGAAAGGTGACCCTGCTCAGGGATTAGGGTGGCTCCAGGTTTAGGGTGGATCCTGCTGGGAATAGGGCGTATCCTGCTGCCTTGGGCTCCCGCTCCTTGAGTTCCCGCGGGGTTCTGAGAGAATTGGTACGCAGAGCCTGGTGGAGGGAGTGTATTTTCCCAGAACATGCGTGTAGAGTGCCGGTGAGAGTTCGGGAATAAAGAGTTGCTGTTTGAATCTACAAGGCTTTGTGGTGGCTCGGTTATTTTGTGCCCAGCCAGACTGCGGCATTTCACAATGGTGTTCTCTTCTTTCTGGAAGGAATATTGATGGGATGAGGAGGGATGGATCCTGGTAGTAAGAATAAAGACCCTGCTTACAATTCAGGAAGTTCTGTGGGAACTGATTTTGTGGGTTTTTTTGGATGATTATATATGGGAAAGGCTTTTCATAAAGTAAATCCTCAATGTTTGTTATGAGTTGCTGCTTGTGATGTGTTTCATTCATTCTCCTATTTATTACAATAGCTTACTTTCAAATTTAATATTTAGAAGGAAAGGAAGAAGTAGATATTACCCCAAAAGGAGAAAAGTCAATTGTAGTTTTCACTTGTTTTTTATTGAAACAGATATAGTTGAGTTTTTGTTGGTAAAACAAATTAAAAATCAGAAGGGAAATAATCTGTATAGCACAGTGCTAAGCATGATTTGATGCTGACCAGACTGGGCCTTTCAGATACCTACAGTTTCTTCTTAATTTCTAACGTTGAAACTTGGTGTCTCCTTTAATTGCAATGATCATATAGACAGTTTTGGTTGTTTTCCACAGACCCTTTATAGACAAATTTTCATCCAATAAAAATAAAGCCTCAGGCTGGGATTGTGGCTCAGTGGTACTGCGCTTGCCTAGCATATGTGAGTCACTGGGTTAGATCCCCAGCACCACATTAAACAAACAAACAAAAACCACCACCACCAACAACAAAACTAAACAAAATAAAGATATTGTGTCCATCTACAATTAAAAATATTTAAATAAATAAGAAAGAAAGAAAGCCTTGTGTGGGTACTTGATCTTGATCAAAAGCAAACAGAAGCTTGAGCTTTTATTTGGTTTAAGTAGGGTTGGGTGCTAAATAGTGATGAATCTGGTAGGAAAATCTAATAGAGAAACCTTGGGTTGTCGGCAGAAAAAAGTGAAACCTGCTTGAACCCTTATAAGGAATATAGGACAATTACAGTCTGATGCTATCTCTTCACAATTGACTGTAAACTCCCTCAGGGCAAGAGCTGTGACACCTCTCCAAGCCTTGCTGAAAATGAGCCCTGAATGCTTAGGAAATGCTGATGGAATTGTGTTGCCAATATTTGTTCCTTCTATTCCCTGTAAGGCACTTTGGGAATGTTAAAGGATATGAGCTCCCCTTTCCTCATGGGGGCATATATCAAGTGATCAAGTACAGAGTTTTTAGGAGTAAAAAGGGATCCTATGGATTCCTTGGATCTCCAGAATATTTCAGAGAAATAGACCTTGAAACACAACTTAGATAAAGGGGGGGGGTGGGGGTGGGGCAGAAGGGAATTCTATATTACACTGCTGCCTTTGTCATTTCTCAGACCAGAAAAAATTCTGTAGGGTATTAACTGTGATTTTTTTTTCAACCATGGGGTAAAACTGAAAGTCAAAAGAAACCAGAGTTGCTTCTTTCTTTTCACTTATTGCAAAAAGAGGAACTTTCTACCCTCCCCCCAGAATTACAACTTAGATTATTTTATTTTTTTAAAAAAGTTTATTTTTATCCAGGTGTGATGGCATACACCTCTAAAGCCAGCTGCTTGGAAGGCTAGGATTAGGTGTATGCCACCTGCGTTGGGAGGCTAAGGTAGAAGATTTCAAATTCAAGGCCAGCCTGGGCAAGTTAGCCAGACCTTGTCTCAAAAAATAAAAAGAGCTGGGAATGTAGCTCTGTGGTGGAGGACTCCTGAGTTCAATCCCCAGTACTTGCAAAATGTGGGAGGGAGAAAAGCTTATAATTGTGTATATTTTGGGGATACAATGTGATATTTTGATATATATACATTTTAGAATGATTATATCGATTAGCATATCTATCACAAATGTATTTATTTGTAATAAGAACATTTAAAATCTACTTTCAGCCATTTTGAAATGTACAATACATTATTAACTACAGTTACTATGCTGTACAGATCCCTAAAACTTATTACTCCTGTCTAACTGAAATTATGTACCCTTTGAGTATCTTCTCATTCCCTCTACCCCCACCAAAACTCCGCCTCTGGTGAGTTTCTGTATTCTACTGTAAGTGTGAGACTTTTTAAGATTCCACATATAAGTGAGATCATGCATATCTGTCTTTCTGTGCTTGGCTTATTTCACTTAGCATAATGTCCTCCAGGTTGATCCGTATTGTTGCAAATGATAGAATTTCTCAAGAGAATTATTTGATTACTAATTGTGCTCATAAAACAGAAGTTACAGCCCTTGTCCTGGAAGATATAATATTTACCTATTAGAAGCATAAAGGGTAAATGCCAATTTGACTTTTAAATATTCAACTAGTGGTGCAAACAGCAAGAGTTTTTGGCCTAAAGTTAAACAGGTATGTTGTTTTTGAGGCATATTTATAGATGTAGAATCGTTCACTGATGGCTTTACTTATAATATCACATTTGTGGAGTGTTTTGAATAATTAATACGTCAGAATAAAGGCCGATTGATTCAAAGGTGGGCAGGGAACAGTGAAATAGGTATTCCTTTAGTATTTCTATTGTATGTTTTTGCTGGACTTTTATTTTAAAAGCTGTTCTTTGAAGCTACTTGGTAAAGAATATTCATATATATACATACATAGCTTGAATGTGTTTATGAATTTAAGTTTTCCTTGTTTCAGACTTAGTGGAGTTTCAAATGGGTAGTCCCAAGAATGTGGGTCCCTTCCTTGCAGTGGATCAGAAGCACAACATCTTGCTCAAATACCGCTGCCATGGTCCACCCATCCGCTTCACGACCGTCTTTAGCAATGAGCTCCATTATGTGGCAAATGAACTGAATGGAATCGTGGGAGGAAGGAACACAGTGATTGCCATATCTTTGTGGTCTCACTTCAGCACCTACCCCTTGGAAGTGTATATCCGTCGGCTCAGGAACATCCGTCGGTCAGTGGTCCAGCTCCTGGATCGAAGCCCTAGGACTGTAGTGGTCATCCGGACAGCCAATGCCCAGGAACTGGGGCCTGAAGTGAGCCTCTTCAACAGTGACTGGTACAACTTTCAACTGGACACCATCCTTCGGAGGATGTTCTCAGGGGTTGGAGTATATCTCGTTGATGCCTGGGAGATGACCCTGGCCCATTATCTACCCCACAAGCTGCACCCAGATGAGGTTATTGTGAAGAACCAGCTGGACATGTTTTTATCTTTTGTGTGCCCCTTGGAGACCTAGGTTGCCCTGGAGGGGACTAGAGGAATAACATCTGTGATCTCCCCAATTGACTTCCAGTGCATAAAGTTTGTGGGTGGCCCCATTATGAGATGGCTACCATTAATATATATAAAACTTCAAAAAATGCCGTACTTTATATAATGACCTGTAAGGACCTTGGAAAATGCAGGCTACATTTATATCTACCTATAGGATTTTTTCCAATCTTGACTTAACCATGGTAGAATCCTTATTAACAGCATCTACACACTATATTGCCCTTGTAACCAAAGATGCTAATGAGTTTTTTTGACCTAGCTTCTTCTGGGACTGGAGACTACTGTGTTAAAGCATGTGAGAAATGTTTTGATGTAAATGGAAGGGACAAATTTGGTTGTCAGTGGAAGTGTTTGTGGCTTATTTGGTAAAGGAAATTGAATATATCTGCGTGAATAGTCCAAGTGGTCCATCTTTAGGGGGTGAATTAAAGAGGGTTTATACTTATAGGTTCCTATGAACATACTGAAGACTGCAGTGACCCAGGAGTTTCTCTTGATCTACCTTTTCTGAATTACTTGAAAAGGCCAATGTGCTTGGTCAGAATTTTATAGTATGGGATATTAATAATTTCCCACTTTTATCTAGGAAAGAAGTGAAGGGGAAATATGAAAGCAGTATGGATAAAATCTGTGCTTTGAATTGATATTTGCATTGGATGATTGTTTCTTATTTGGATCAGCTAAATTTTTGTGTGATGAATATTTATTCTAAAATAACCACTTTTGGAACTGAAAGGGGGAAATCTATGCCCAGAAGTTTATTTTTATGTTCTAAAGTTTGAGGGGTTTTAAAAATTGACTTTTATGTAAAGAATGCTGTTTATTATTATAAAGATGTAGAAGTTTTTTTCTGCCAATTTCAAGTGTTTCCTTTTTGGTTATTTTGAACTACATACCAAAATTAGAAGCTAGAATCCAATTAGATATTAATAAAATCAGAAATTAAAATTCATGACAGGTATTCCTTATTTAGGCATATGTATACATATTCTCTCCCATTCTCAATTGTCAATTTTCTTTGACTTTATCTTACGTTTTTCTAAAAAAAATTTTTTAGTTGTAGATGGACACAGTACATTTATTTTATTTATTTTTATGTGGTGCTGAGGATGGAACCCAGTGACTCACACATGCCAGTCGAACACTCTACCACTGAGCCACAACCCCAGCCCCATCTTACTCGTTTTAAATGAATTGAAGTTTATTTGGGGTCATTTACTAAGTACTGTCCCATGTCTAATTTTAGTTGTCATTAGGTAGACACATGAGGAAACATAGGTCGTTTTAGAGATGACGATGGATGCTTAAAGCATGAGAAGTATGCACACTTAGAAGAATGAGTCAAATAATTTGGGTTTTTAACTTAATGTCTCAGATCTTCCTTTCCTTTTCTTCTAAAGATCATCGTTTATAATGCATTTTACGGGTAAAGAGCATTTTTGTTTTCTGAGCCTGAAGAGGACCAAAGGAGTTAAATTAATTTTAATGGACCTTAAGCTTGTTATATTTGATAAAATTTCAGAATTGGGGTCTGTGCCTCCAGGAATTGGGGAATTAATGTTTGTGACAAGAGGCCAGTGATTCTGATGCAGCAGTGGGGTTCTGCACATGAAGAAACACACAGAAGGGGAAGAGGGAAGGCGGAACCAGGAAAGTAACACTGCTTGTCTACTATTTCAAGGGCTTCCCAACAACTTACTTAATTCTAATCATGATCCAATAGTGTAGGTGGTATTAGCTCCATTTTATAGATGAAGAACTTGAAATTAGATTTGAATTAAGGTATATGGGAGACCAGCTTCTTACAATTTTTTAAAGAAGTTTTATTTTTATTTTTTTGGTACTGGGGATTGCCCTCAAGGGTGCTTAACCTCTGAGCCACATCCCCAGACTCTCCCCCGCACCCCAACTTTTAAAATTTTATTTAGAGACAGCATCTCATCGAGTTGCCCAGGGCCTCACTAAGTTGCTGAGGCTGGCTTTGAATTCCAGATCCTCCTGGCTCAGCCTCCTAAGCTCCTTGGGGTGGGGGATTACTGGTACTATGCCTGGCAGAAGTTTTCTTTTTTGATAACTTTTTGGCATTTTCTCTAGAAGAACTGCTGGAGCAGGCTGAGGAGTCACTTTTTTAGGGCAATTTCATGGAGAAAGCAAACACTGTATCTCCAAGGGTTTGGAGTGAGGCTGCTGCAACTGATTTTCTTGTGACCTTGTCCAGTTTTTAATTACTTTTTAATTTGGTTATATATTTTATTTACTTACATATTTTAATTACTTTTTAATTTGGTTAAAGATTTGATGACACAATTTCTTGAGGTAGTTTCAGTCACTTTCATTCCTCCTCTGTCTTTCTGCACTGTGTGTCAACTTTGATAGAGATTGAAATATTACGTAAACCTTTCTTAAAACAATTAGACACAGGTCAAGTGTCTCTAATCTGAAAATGTGAAACCCCAAATTCTCCACAAACCAAAACTTTTTGAGCACCTGACATGATACCACAAGTGAAAAATTATACACTTGACCTCATACGATAGTCAAAAAAGATGCACCAAAAAAGTTACATAAAATTACCTTTAGGGCAACATGTGTAAACTGTATGTGAAACAAAGTTCATGTTTAGACTTGGGTCATGTCACTGGGCTATCTCATATAAATATGCAGATGATCCAAAATCCAAAATATTTCAAACTCTGAAACACTTCTGGTCCAAAGCATTTTTTTAATATTTATTTTTTTTAGTTGTCATTGGACACAATATTTTATTTTATTTATTTATTTTTATGTGGTGCTGAGGATTGAACCCAGGGCCTCGCAGGTGCTAGGCGAGCCACAATCCCAGATCCTGGTCCCAAGCATTTTGAATGAGGAAAATTTAACCTGCACAATACTTTTCTGAAAATTTTATTTTAGGATAGCATCACATAGTTCTATGTATTAGCATTTCGGCCAAAAAGTGGTTTTAAATATATATATTTCTCATTATAAAAATTAAGGCCATCATAGAGTACAAAATCTAGAAGAAAAAATCCGGATTAAAAAATCTATAGTTCTATCACAGGAATGCAATGAACATCAGCATTTTTATATATTTTCTTCTAGGATTTTAAACCACATACAGTGGGCCTTTCATATCTGTAGATTCAACAAACTTCAGATAGAAATATTTGGGAAAAATTGCATCTGTACTGAACACATACAGACTTTCCTGGTTCTTACTCTCTATACAACATAGAACAACACTTATTTGCATAGCATTTACGTTGTATTAGATATTACAAGTAATCTAGAGATGACTTATTAGATTAGATGGGAGGATGAACATAAATTATATAATACCATCTTACTAAGGACTTGAGCAGCCTCAGATTTTGGTATTTGGAAGGGTTCTAGAACCAAAATACAGAGAGACAACTGTAGCTAATAGAGAATATGTAATTTGGATATGTTTTTTAATTTAAAATATAAATATTTTCTGTTAAATAGCCTTAAAAATTATAAAGATCTGCCCAATAGTTATATTAATGATGTTAATATTACCTAAGTTGGCCGTTATGGTTGAATGTTTTGGCTTATAATAAAATATTAAAGCAATGTTTTATATATAATTTCATTGGATTAAAATATGGACTTTTATTTTGGAGTCACAGTATTAATATAACTTAGTGAATTCTCATATTCCAGAACTAAAATGATTGATTTAATGGTATTGTGAAAGGGAGAACTCTAATAAGGCTCTTCTATGCAAATTATATTTTACAGAAGTTACCTATTAAAAGTAACCTTTAGCAGATAGCAAACAGACCTTTGGTGTTCCAGTATGATCCATTTCTAAATGGATCTAAACTTCTTTCTTCTTTTTTACCTTTATTTTATTTATTTGTTTTCTTGTGGTGCTGAGGATGGAACCCACTGCCTCACTCATGCTGGGCAAGTGCTCTACCACTGAGCTGCAATCCCAGTTCCCAGGATGATACATTTTTATCATTCCATAATTCTATTAAATACCACTTGACTGACATTTCCTGGCTGCAGGTCTTAGGTTTCAGACTGATAAATCAGGGTTCATGACAAGAACAATAAGGTAAATCTTTACATAGTCATGAGTTACATGTCAGAAGTGAGTCTGTTTCTGGATCTGTTAAAGGAAATGGTGATCACTGAGTAGTACAGGGAAATAAACTCCCAAGGGAGCAACAGAAATAAGACTCCCCAACTCAGCAAAAAAGCTGATTAGCATTATATTAGTGGGTTCTGGGTAAATTCAGCTTTTAAATGTTAGCTAGTCACTAACACCAGAAATTCTTTTTTAAATGTATTCATTTTTTTGAGTGAAGCATTATTCTCCCCGGTTTATTCAACAGTGCAGTCTCAGTGCACTCAGTGTCTGGCACTGCTGTGTGCAATAAAGAAATAAGATTTGGAAGTTGCTGTTTTTCTCTTCCAAAGTGAGAATGCAGTGTCCTGAGGCTTAGGGGCACCTGGCAGTCTGAGAATGGGAGGTTATGGAGGTCAGCAGGTTGTTGAGAGCAGAAGTTTAATAGGACACAGACTGGAAGAATGCAAATGCACTGCCCCAACTTCAGGTTGAAAGTGCACTTAATTTTTTAAAAGTGTAAAATACATTAAATATACAATTTCCTCTTTAATATTTTGCATTAAGTGAGAGGAGGTTAGGTAGGCCTCTGGAGTTCAAGGGACCTGCAGGTAGCTATAGATAAGCCCATTTCTACTGCAGAACCAGACATGGGCGTCTCCTGGATTATAACACGACCTGGAGAAGACAACTCTAAAAAAAAAAAAAACAGAAAGAAAAAGGAAACACTAGAGTTCACAGTAGCAAGTGTCCCAAAAGGAAAAGCGACCATGAAACTAAATGTGATTGGAGAAATCCTTTCAATGTGCTCTGACGGCTCATTCTTTGTTTAAACCCACCCCACCCCCATCGCCAGTGAAAATAATCGTGTTTCAGGACCATCGCTTTATTTATGCTGCAGAGTCCAAGTCAATGAAAGCACATGACGGGGATACTGCTTTTTGATTGCGGTGTTTAAAAAGCTGCGAGGTGGAAGGCAAGCTCCCGCCCCCCCCAGATACCCACTGCAACCCACACTGAGGCCATACAGAAAGAGGCGGCGCTAATGAGAAGCCAGCCCCAATCCCTGCTGGAGATTCATCCGGGACCTTCAAGAAACGCATCTTAAGAAAAAAGTTTTGTTGCTAGACGTGGCCTCTGATCCCCTCGCGTGATTCCAGGCCGGGTCTTGGAGCCCGCCCTCGAGGGGAATGTCCCGGACTCGTGTCGGTACCTTTTCGGTCTGGGAATTTCCAATGTGCGGAAAAAAATCCACAGACCTAGTCCTGGCTGCCCCCTCCCGCCTCCCCGGGCCCTCTGTGCCCACGCGGAGTATGGAACCCGAGGAGGACCGGGTTCGGCCTTTCAGAAAGCTCGCGCTTCGTTCCCCGCCCCCACCGCCTTCTCCCGTGGGGAGCTGAAGGCGAACCCTATAAAGGGGGCCGGGGACTCGGCAGCCTCCTGCTGCCACGAGGTCAGAAGACGAGCTGGTAGAGGAAAGGCGGCCTCTGCTCCTTATCATGTAACCTCAAAAAGGAAACTGATCATCTTTTCTCATGCTCTCACGTACTTCGTTTATTATCGCTGATTACAGCTGGAAACAGTTGATTTGCTTTTACGTATTTGTATGACTTGACTCTTCAAACACAAAGGTATATTTTTATTATTTGATATTTAGTATGAAGAAGTGTCTTGAAATGCTAAGTTCCCGCCCTTTTCTTTTTCCCATATTTTTTCCTTGGGAATCACTTTCTGATGTTTGAGTAATATTTGCTTTGGGGCAAAATATTGGGGGGTGGGGCAGGTTTTCTTTTTTTGGGGGGAAGATCTGGGGTGATTTTATAGTTTGTTAATAGCATGAATGGTGTCTGTTTATCTTAAAGGCTTAGGAGGGACTAAGATGCTGATGGTGGAAGTGGATAGGACAAGTGGCGAAGGGAGCCTAAATCTCATGTAAAGGGTTTAGCTTTAGTGACTTAGACCTGTGATGCCACAAGGCAGAGGTATGGCTTTAGAGGTATGCTTTTCCAAAAAGGGCAGGCATGTCACTGTTTTTATGGAAAAATATATCCAAGTATATTGGAGTATTTGGTAGCTTGCCCTCAAAAATTTTTATATAACCTCTATAAAATTAGAATTTATGAGTGACCGTTTTATGAATGAGGGAAATGTGAAATTTGATGACTTGGCTGGATCATCAGTTTCATAACAATCTGTATCAGTATTTTAAGGTGTTTTGTCCAAATAAAAGCATGTTTCTATGTAGGATCAATTAAGATTTTCTTCACAGGGATAGGAAACTGGCTGTAGTAGGTGAGGGTGTTGTCCCCAAAAGGCTGACATTTATTATGTAAATTTTAGTACATGGTTATATCTCTCTCTATATATACTGTCAATTTGAAACTGGCATCTGAAGAAATACACTATCTGGCTGAGTGGAATTTTTTTTGCTTCTCTTAGTCAGATAGTAGGTTGTTTCACAATAAAAGGAGAGTAAAGTTTCCAAGGCCCGTTCACCACTCTCAGTATTCCTTGATAGAGGAGGGAGTCCCCCACAGGATCATCTAAATATGCAGGTAACCCTGAAGTCTGTTTATTAGCTTCAGAATAAGGTGTGATAAGGTGTGATCCAGCAGCGGCTCCACAGTCTCTTCAGCATCATTTTGCTTCGGCTAAGGATACAGTTGGGCAGGTGCAGGTGCAGGGGTGGAAGAATCCATCTGGGAGGAGTTAGCATATGAAGCCATGGCTCAGCACTGGCTTGTTAAACCCTTGGCTTTCTTTCTAGTGTGGAGGTGAGGACCACCGTCAGCCCAACTGAGTTGTTCAGATACTGACTTTTCCTCACTAAGGGAAGGGATGCAAACCCTTGTCCTTATACTTTGTCTTGAAATAGGTCCTCCTTTCCAGAAATCAGAAGACACTCTCTAAGAAGCTACAGACTCCTGAGAACACTACTAAGAGGAAGGCTTTCTGATTTTTCTAAGATCAACCATGAATTACTCCTGGAGGAAAAAAAAATTCCTTTTGGTTCTTAACCTGATGCTGATTTGGTGGCCTCTTGATTTTTTTCCCTTCAGGTTAATAGGAAGATCACGAGGGCCCAGGCTGAACTTCACCTTTTGACTCCTGTGGCCTGATGCTGAACTCCCAAGGGTGAGAAAGGCAGATTTTTCTAACCAAGGAGGATCTAAGTATCACTCAAGTCTTGGCTGCTAAAGTCAAAATGGGGAGTGGGATGTTTTCTAAAGGTTCTAAGATTCTTGTCTTTTTAACCAATTTTTGAAGTTGTTTCAAGACTATTATGAATTTTACTTATAGGCATGTGACTATGATTTCTTGTGAACTAAAGCTTTTTGGTGGTTTAGCAGTTTTTCAACAACTTTTGTTGAATTTCCATTATTTTTCATGGGGAGAGCATATGAACACATCTAAGAGGGAAATTCAGCTCTCTGCTGACCAACGGTTTCAGGGTTAGGTAATTTTTAACAGGCTCCGAAAGCATCATATCCTCAGAGTTTTGGTGAAGAGGCTCACTAAAGCTAGCGTATGTGGTTTCTGATCAAAGTACTTCCTGTTCCTTTAACTTGGAGCTCTCTGTGAGGAAAAACATTTTCCTTTCAAGCTTAGTGGTTAAAATTATCTTACTGGAGGAGTTAGTGGACTGGGAATTAACAAGTGTTTGTAAACACTTGTTTTAGGAGTCGACTAATAAGAGTGCCTTTAGCCTTCATAATAACATTTGAGGTGAGTATAATTAGTCTTATTTTATAGATGAGGAAACTGAGGCTCAGGAGGATTGAGCAATTGGCTCAGGGCCCTTCAGGTAGTAAGTAGCAGAGCTCTGGTTTGCCATCAGGCAAAGGTACAATAGGGAGTGGTCCATTCTTCCCAGGGTCCTGAATTATCTAGCCCCCCTCCCCAAATCACACACTTGGCCACCACCTCCTCCCTTTTCGTACTCAACTAATAAAGTTTGAGTTGATAACTGCCATAACCCTCTGTATTTTAAGAAGACCACAGAATATGCTTTAGAACTATATGGGTGGCTGGACTAATATTTTGGAGAAAGGCAGCCTTTTACTTATTAAGCCATTTTTAGAAATTGTAGAATTGTAAAGAAAGGGGTATTGTGCTACACATTTTTCTTGCCTCTGGCAGGACCTTTCATTCCATTCTGGAAAGTGAAATGTTGGAGCATTCTGAGTCACAGCTCTGGTGAAGGGTCCATGGCAGCTGCCTCTAAAGAGTAGAGCCTTAGGCATCTAGCAAACCCATTCACCTGTTCCAAACCATCCCTGCCAGAGCAGGGATCAGTTAATAAACTACCTGAATTAAAGTCTTCCAGAGGTAGCTCCCAGGTTAGTAGTTTGCATGCTTTAGGTCCTTGGTGATTTCTAAGAAGTCTCCTGTGATCCCTTTCTGGTTTACATTTCCTTTATTCTCTATAGGAAATAAATTCATTTGAGAGGAGTAATAAGTGAACCTCTTGAATGATTAAAATGCGTTGAATTAAGGAAGAGTATATATAAAACAGTAGTGGAGTTTAACCCTGGGGTGT